TCCCCGCTCGGCCCCTCAGCGCGGCGAGCTGGCGTCCTGCGGTCCGTCCGCTGCTCCTGGGCCGCACCTTGGGCAGGCCGGTCCCCTTAAACCGATAGACGGCGCGGTCCGCTGGTGCTTCCAGCGGTGCTGGCTCGCTTTCCCCGTGGTAAAAATGAGACCGTTTATTCCCCGCAGCCACTTCTCCGGTTTCCGGGGCTTGTGAGGAGTAACAGATCTCTGGGCTTTAAAACCTTAAAGATGTTCACATGACGCTTAAGTTGATAATCCCCTGATGAGGAAACAATGCCTGCTCTTGGTCTCCGGCCATTTATGATGTGCAGTTGGAAGCTGGATGCAGCGCTGGGAATTACAGCAGCCTGTTGTTGGGTACTTAAAAGCACAACCCCAAAGGAGCCGGGATTTGCTGTGTGCTGTTGCTCTAACATTTCATTTCCTCACTTCTTGAGCTAGCATCAAAGGAGCCTGGCTGATTGGTGTGTTCAGAGCCTCAGGTGAGCAGGCTGCCTTGGCAAACAGCAGATTTTTGCCCAGAGGACTCCAGTCTCTGATTCAGACCTGGTGCAGGAGGTGCTGATGGTAAAGGCTCTGTTTTATTGTGAGTGGTAGGCTGCTGTTTCTGGCTGTTCAGCATATCAGGTACTAAAAAATTTGTAGCCTGTTTGTGGTATCAGGCTTACTTCAGTGTAGTAGAACCAAACCCAAATACTGAAGCAAAAGAGCGGGAGAATTCTGAAAAATCCAGGGGTAGCGACAGAAGTGTCTGCTCCCATATTTCCTTGCAGCAGAGTTGCATTTTAATGCTGCAGAAGAGGAGGGCAGGGGAGAGCCTTCTCCTAAACTTCACGCTGAGGGTAGAATGCGAGTTTCATAAACTAACCCGAAACGGCCCATGTTGGCAGCTTCCTGCTCCCCCTGCCGCACTGAGCAACGGCTTCTCTAAAGGGATTGACACGAATGAGATGTGGAGAAGGCTATTTCTATCCTTGGTCTGAAAAGCCTCAGAAGGAAGAGCTGCTCCGCAGGCCCGTCGGTTGTGCAACGTGCGTGTCCTGCCCTGGCTGTGATGCCCTTGGGCTTGGCGTGTAACAGTGCTGATTCTTCAAGTAAGCAGGGTGGGGGGCTGGAAAGTGAGGGGTTTTACCTCTCGACAGTGTTTAGATTTGGCTTTATGGAGCAGACTGCATGAGAGATGGTCCTTTTAATCTGCAGCATCTTGACTTTTGGTAACTCGCCATGCAGAACAAGTGGCTGAAGTGTAGGTAGGTGTGTGCTTGGACTCTGTGCCCTCAGGAGGAGGTATCCTGACTGAAAGCACTTGCCTTTGACGTGGTTGTGTAGTGACTGCCTTGTTATGCGAAACTTAAGGGGAGAGTAGATTTTATAGCTATTAGTGGAAATGGCAAAAAGTGTCAGAGCCTCATAGATCCCCTTCCGAGGCCAAGAAACAAAGGTCATGCCAGGGAGGAGAGTGTACCCTGTGGGACAGTGCAGGCTCCTGCCAGGCTTGGCTGCCCCGAGCGTTGTCCCCGGGCTCACAGATGTTGTTTACACCACGAGGACTCCTCCCTCTGCTAGGGAGGGAGAGGTTGTTTTTAGTTTGAAGGTGACTCGGGAGAACGTTATCTGGTCTTGTCTGCCTTCACTGCTGGCCAGCTTGATCAGATACCACACTGCGCCCGAGAGAAGCGTCCAGCTCAGTTCTGTGAAGTCTGGTTTTTGTGAGCTGGTTTCAACTTGCAGCCCATCAGCATTTGGAAAACATTTGAATATCTCTGATCAATTCCAGTGGGTTGATGCTGGCTGTGCTCGTACGCCTCTGGACTCAGCAGGCGCTTTCCCCAGCCTCGAGTGCCCGGGATTTTGATTGCCTGGTCTGCTTTGTGTTGGGAGGAGGGGGGATATTAATCCCATGTGAATGCAAATGGTACTTGCTGTTGTTACTGCTTGCTGAAGCTTTTTAGCCTGTCTGAACTGTGTGAAGTGCCCTCTAACTCAGAGCAAATAACCTTGCAACAGCTTATTTTGTCAGCATACGATAATCACCTTGTATCTGTAAAAAAATCCCTTGATCTTTACTAGCTCCCATTTTAAATCAGGCTGTAGTTAAAATGGGACAGGCTTTTACAAGTGCTGTAGTCAGTTCTATGACTTTTCAAAATTAGGTGTTTGGGAGTGTTTAATCACAGGCCTGTGGTGTAAAAAAAACCCATTTGGCACACAGGTCAGTTGTTCTAGAAGTGAAACTCAGCGTGTGAAAGTTGCTTATAGCTGATACCTCCATACGTCTTTTGGGACCCCCGTCACCTACCACTTTTTTTAAAATCAGTTCAAGATCACCATTCTGGTGTCTCTGGTACAACTCTGTCATCCAGAGTCCCTTGGAAACCTTGAAACCTCTGCAAAAGTGTTGTTGAACAGCGCATTTCTGAATGTAACCAGCAGTACTGCGGTCGGTGTGTGAAATAGCAAGAGTTTTTTAGCCTTCCAGTTACACTCAGGCCTCTGTTTTAAGGTACCTCAGTTTTCAGTATCGGCCTTTTCCTAAAAGCGTCTTGGTCTCAGGTGAGGGTCAGATCTCTCCTTCCTTGTCCAAGCATGTTTATTCTTCCAGACTTTTAAAGATTTAGTATGCAAAACTAATTTTTCCTTTGAGAAATGTGGAATTGATTTATTTAGGACTCTGAAACTTTGCCTTGCAGACTTACTTGTATTTTTCTTGAGTTTGAGCAAACTTGGTTTTGTAATACTGATTTGTTTCTACGCTCACAAAAAATGGTCATAGGATTTCCTATTAAAACATCTTCATGCATTCGAAAAACGTCATAGGATTTCCTATTAAAACATCTTCAGGCATTCGAAAAACAAAAAATTTGCTCCCAAACCCACCTCCTTTGTGCCTGTAGGTCATGGTACATATATGGAGGGTTGTATATGATCATGAACTTTAAGTGCTTAATAAATTAATTTCCTGGAAGCCGTCTTGGTGTGTGGGATGCCCCGTAAGCCCACTGTTGGCACGTCTGAAGTGCAGTCAGCGTGCAGGAAGGACGTGTCGCAAGCTTAACTAGTTCTTCTTAAATCTGACTGCGGTTGAGTCACGTAAGTAACCTTGACCCATGAATGATGTCTTTTCCCGAAGCGATGTTGCTAGAGCCTCCCTTCCTGCCCCCTCCAAGAACAGCTCCCCTGGGGCCCTGCCCTTCTCCCCACTGCCTTGTAATGACTTGGGCAGTTTGCACCTGGGGACTGCTGGTCGCTGTGGCTCTGCTGGGTCTGGCTAGTAGCCTAAAGATGTTTGGCAGCTCAGCTTTCCGCAGTCCAGTGGCTCACGGACCTACCTTTGGACTGTCTGTTTTCGAAAGCTGAACCCTCTGGCCTCTCACCACAAGAGCAGTTTGAAAAATACCGTAGTTCTGGGCTGCAGCTGCTTCTTGTGCTTTTAATCTGTTTATTACTAATTTAGCTCTGCAAAGTTATCTTGCCTGAGATAAAAAGTCTGATTTCACTGTTTGTATGACAATGAATGTTACACATTTCCTCACCTGGCTTGCAACATCTTGCAGACTGCAAGACATTCCTCTCCCCCCAAAAAGCTGTTATCTTAATATTGTGTTTAAAAGTATCTGCCAGGCATCTTAGTGAGCGGAGTGATGAAACAAGTGTGTGAGAGCTGGGGCAGTGCCGTGAGGCCTGGCAGACGAGGCCAGCAAAGAGTATTGGTACGTCTAGCAGTGGGTGCTGCCGTCCACAGCCACCTAGCAAAGGTGCTGCCCGTCCTCCGCAGTGGGACACATGAACGGGGTTGTCCTACCTTGCTGCTGCTGGCCTTCTGTTGCAACCTGAGGTGGGGGCTTTGGCAGACCTGTGGAGCGCCTTGCCAGAGCACAGGGGGTGCTAAAATTGTGTGGGGACCACGGAGGCTGGGTAAGCCCGTGCAACAAAAAATGTGTTGCTGTCTTCGTCCTGAACTGAAGGTGCTTGGAGACCGGGGAAGTGTCGCAGGCTCTTGGTCTGCCCCAGTGAACGTCATGCCATAACGCCGTCCCTTGCAGAAGGCAGACAATGCCATGACTGCTGTGGGTTTCTTGTTTCGATAGTGGCAAATACTATGTGCTGGTTTGTATGTTCTGGTTTTGCAGCGGAGTCGCAGGAAGTGTTGTTGGCTGGAGATACAAGAATTCAAAATAACAGCCCTGTCCGAGCTGGGCAGAGTTCAGAGAACGTGGAGGGCGGGAGAGGGAAGAGTACACTGATCTGAAGATTGTATGTGGCCTCTTCTCAATGGCTGAATTTTTTTTTGCTTGTAGAGGGTGAATTCTTGCTTTGCACTAACACTTTGCACTAATACCTCTTCAACTCATAGCTGGTTTTATAAAGTCACCGCTGTCTCAAAAGAGACTGACTCAGGACAGCGTCGAGTTGTACTGCGAGGCGATTGGCAATCCTATCCCTGAGATCCAGTGGTGGTTTGAGGGAAACGAGCCAAATGAGACCTATGCTCAGCTCTGGGATGGCGCACGGCAGGACCGTGTCAAAATCAACGCCACCTACAACCTGCACTCTACCAGTACCATCTACATCGCAAACCTCACAAGCGACGACTCGGGCATGTATGAGTGCCGGGCTAGCAACGACCCTGACCGCAACCACTTGTCGAAGAGCCCCAAAGTCAAGTGGATCCGTTCCCAGGCAAACGTTTTTGTCATCGAACGTGAGTGGCCACACTGAGGCCTTGGCACTTGCTCGGACACCGATGTCTTGAGTCTCCTGCCATGCTCACCCCTGCACCCGTGTCCTGTTGCTCCCGAAAGCTCCCCTCACCCTCCCACCCCAGCTGTAGAACTGAGAGACTCCCACCCTCTGTCATCTCCCTCACCACCTGTGACTTGACCCGAAATGGCCCTGCTCAAAAAGGGTTGTGGCTTCCCAACCAAAATGCCCTTTGGCAATCCCGCGCCTTTTCTGGAGCCAAAGACCTGGAACCTACTGCTTATTCCCGAGTGCCTCTGAGTCCCGGTGCTGGCTTGCAGAATTGAGTCTTGATTCTGTGGTAGATTCTGCCCTAACCGCCACTGACAAACCAGCCCTTCCCTACAGCTCGTACAGCTTCTGCTCCTGTGAACAGTCTTGCTTTAAGCTCGCTTTCTTGCTAGTGATACAAGCTGTGGGGAACAAAACCTGCTTTGAGTTTCCTGAGATGCAACCGTTTTTGAAATGGCCGTGTCTGTGTGACACTGAATGTGATGTAGTTGCTTGTCCTGTGGAAGTGACCAGATTCCCTCTGCTTACAGAGCTGGCAGTCGAACTCTGGAGCTAACAGGCAGCTGCTTTGAGTAATAGAAACCTGGGCCAGTGTGAGGGAATTTAACATCCTGCTAAGGTCTTACCATGAATCCTGAAGTTAGCAGAGCAGTGTAGCAGTCTTTTCAGCATAAATGAGCCAGGGAATACAGAACTCCAGCAGAACCTTCTTCTGGTGGAATTTGGGTAGGAGGAAAAGCAAAATGCCTGTCAGCCCTGTGCAAAAATTGTTCCTTCCAAGAGACTGAGATTGGGAGGAAGGACAGGAACTGTAGTGCCACCAGGGCTGTGTAATGGTGCTGCTAATGGCAGCTGTTTTCTTGGACTGCTTTCTACAAGAAGAAATGCCCGAGTCATCTTATGTTGCATAATTTACTGCTGCTTGGCACGTGGAGGCCCAGGACCTTTTGGAGTCACGGTTCTGTGTGTTCTCCCTGGAGTAAATCTAACTATATTATTTTGGGCTGCATCAGATGATGCACATATTGCTTGCATATGGTCTTGTTTGCTATCCCTCACAACAGAGGGTCTTGACTGCCATCAGTTATGTTACCTGGAGGTGTCTAAGTCTGCTCAGATTCTGGAAGGTGTTGACACAGCGAGTGCTATAGTGGCTCATAAAAGCAGAGCCATACTCTGCCCTTCACAGTATGACCTTTTCCATTGCTTATTGAGCACTTAGCTCTGCTCGAGCTGCACCCATTGTAGAGACAGCAGGGACTCAAAACTACCCAGAGCACATGGCAGCGATCCTGCTCATGGTGGGAGCAGCTGCAGGGTAAGCATTGGTTATTGCTAGGTGCAATCAGGCCCTAGTCGCCTGTTTTTCAAGTCTCTCCTGTGCTGGTATCAGTTCTGGTAGGAAACTGTTTGCAAAGGTAAGTGAAAGCTATGATAGAGACAAGGAGCTGTGGGTTTTGCATTAAAGGTTCTTGGGCAGGCACGTGACCTCTGGAATACCGCATGTTAACTTCAATCGAATTATTCACGAATGCAGGTCCAGACATCAAAGCTCATGTAACTGGCATTTCTGGCAAGCTGATCCTCACCTGTAACATGACTGCGCCTTACCCTGCCATCGAGGGTCATGAATGGATGCATGGGGACAAGATACTTCAAACAGACACGGAGTCAAGTACTTTCACCAGTTACACGTGAGTGTCAGGGGCAAGGTCAGATAAGAATCTGAACACCGGGGACAGGTTTTTACCAGAGGCAGTTAATGTTTCCTATCAGCTGAACCCAAAGCTAAGTGCTTGCAGTCTTGCTGAAAATGTAGGCTTTTAAACTTTGGAACATAAGATGAGCTAAACAAACTTCTGGTAAGGCCCAACATTTTCTCCTTTAAGGGGAGGAGGGGGCAAAAAGGAGGAGGAAGGCGAAGTTATATGCCCCACACATCCTCTTAGTAAGAGAAGTTCTGCTGCTTCATGTTTTTATGCAGGTGTTCAGCTGGGCTCTGTTGGTTTGTCAGGTGCAGTGTGCAACTGGGGCTGCTGCCTGGCCTGTGTCTGCACCGTCCTTCTGCACTGACATCAGTGTGCTGGAGCTGCTTTCCTAGAGCTTTGAGGGACCCCTGCTCTGGGCAGGACATCAGCTCCCTGCTCCCCAGAGACCGTGTGTGGAATGAGAGACTCCAGCGTATGTTGTCTCTGCCTTTGGCTTTTATGTACCTTTCCAAAGTCCAGCCATTCTTACAGAACAAGCTGGGAAGCTGCTTGCAAGTTATGGTCAATGCTCAGAAACTGCTTGCAGGGTGTAGCTGAGCAGAAGCGGGAATACCAGCCTTATTGTAACAGTGCAGTGAGCTTTCCTTTTTGATTACAGTCAGGCCTGGCTGGCACTGACCCAGCAGCTGTAGAGGCATCATGTCCTTTTGTATGGCAGTGCCGACGTGCCTGTCTCCCCATAGCAACAGGGAGCTGAACAAGGATTAAAGTATTTATAACCCAGCCTCCCTCGCGTGACCTCAATTCCATAGCTGAGTGGTTTTTGGAAGTGGGAAGCGCCATGCACAGCACAACGAACAAACAGCCTGTTGTCCCAGTGCAGCCATGGGACTGCAACTTTGCCTGCCCCTTCCCTCGAGTGTGTATTACTAAGCTGCAGAATGAGATGTTTGTTGTAGTGCAGCATAATCCACTAAATCTCATTGCAGCAGCTTTACAAAAAGGAAAATGGGAGAGTTCTCCCTACGCTTGGATCAATCCAGAGTAAGCCAGCCTGGGTGTTTCTTTGCCACTGCTTTGCCATGTGTTTCAGTGGGCTTTCCTGCATGGGAAGAATAGCTGCCTTCTGAATCTGTTGTCCTAAGCTCCTTGCCTGTCTCCTTTAGAGGTGAACTGCAGAGCTGATGTCTTACGTGAGGTGTGTGGCTGTGTCCTGGGTTGTGCTAACTAGAGGACTCTTGCTGCACTACAGATTCTGTTGGCTTTGCTCAGTAGGGTGTGATTTTCTTTTTTTAATGAGCCTGGGATCTGTATGGAAGAGGGAAGAGCATGGAGTTGGCCACTTCTGAAGTGTACATATGGCACTGCACCTGGTGATGGTGTAATGTTGTCCCGGTGCTCCTGGTTTTCTTCATCTATACTAGCTAACAGTCTAGGTCTTAATTTTTTTCCCTTTGTAGAGTCCCTGATGGCAAGAGTGCTTTGGGTTAGGGAGTGAAAGCTGCTGGTTTTCAGGATTCAGGACACAAGATCAGGAGGTCTCAGTGATCACCGACTTGACAGACCTGTATGTGAAATCCTCTTCTGCCATCCTCAATGTGTGGGGAGAGAAGGGTGAAGAGTTGGGTTGCTGTAGGTACATGGTGGAGCGTAAATACTGGCACTGGAATGGGAGAAATTGCCTATGGAGGAAATTGCTGATGCTTATAGATGTCTGTTTCCATGGGTCTGGAGTTTAGTATCTGTTTGTGGATAAGTCAGTTGTGCTGAATGCTTATCTGGCATCCTGGTTTTTGGTAGAATCGAGGGGAAGATGGAAGAGCACTCTGGTGTCTATGAATGCATCTACAAAGGAAGCCCGGTGATAAAAGGACAAGTGAATATTTCAGGTAACTTCATATGTTTGCTCCTGGGTCTGAGGAGGGGAGTGGGGAAGCTGTGATCTTCTGAACACTTTACTTTGGTATCTTTTCAGCTTCTTGAAAAGTTGCTTCTAGCCCTTACTAACAAGGCTGCAGGACTCTACATGTGTACTACCAGACTTGCTCTGTGAGGCAGCTCCATTTTATCAGGCAGCTAAAGTGTCTGTAGGGTCAGCTCTTAGACCTTGCATTAAATCAGGCCTTCTGCTGTGGGCATGTTCCCACAAGAATAATGGGAGAGGGATAATACCTGGTGGACAAATCTGTTCGAGCCTTCCTTGAAGCAGCTCGACGTGCTTTCCTCTGTGAAAATGCCAAACAACGGGCACGTGAGGGGAATACACCCACTAACGCATTTCTTAAACTGAAGTCAAGCTTTATGGGTAACTTTCTTTGATTCTGGCTAGGTGGACTGCAGGGAGTACAAATCTTCTGTGTTTTCTAGAATGAGGTGTCTGATTTTCTTTTTCTCTTGCTGTAGTTTCACCCCAAGTGATGGCATACAAGAAGTCTGAGCATGGGAATGAGGGGGACACAGGCGTTCTGACCTGCAAGAATCCCTCTTTCCCCCCTGTCGGCTCTTGGGTCTGGTACAAAAATGGTCAAGAAGTAAGTGCTGTGGTTTGCTCTTTCTCCCCTTCTGCCTACCCTACTTCCCAGCAAAGAGGTGGAGGACCTCGTCCCATCAGAATTAGCTATTTCAGAGTAGCCTCCTCAGTGCCATGGCAAGGAGGATTTCTGTAGTGGTAGGACCATGCATGGTAAGTGAGCAGCTCCCCTCATGTCAGCACTGCCCTGAGAGCTGTCTCTTTCTCCCTCCAGCCCATCATCAATGGTTCTGGTCGATACATTATCAAGTCCAGTGGCAACAAGACAGAGTTACGCATTCTTAAACTGAATATTGAGGAGGATACGGGTGACTACCACTGCAATGCCACCAACTCTTATGGCTTTGGTGGTGCTACGGTAAACTTGCGTGTACGCAGCCGCCTGGCAGCGCTCTGGCCCTTCCTGGGTATTGTGGCAGAAGTCCTTGTTCTTGTCACCATCATCTTCATCTATGAGAAGAGGAGGAAGCCAGATGAGGTTCTTGATGGTAAGAGGTGCCTGGGGTTAAATCTGGGGAGACCAAGTAACTTGTAGGGTGCAGGCAAAATGTTCTTGTAGAGAACTTGGAGTTCCCTTTGTCAGATGGGCATTAATTTGAGGGCTGCTTCTCAGGGTGCTTCTTGTAAAACCATGATAGTCTTTACCAGGCTACTTTAGCCATGAAGTTGCAAGTAATTGCACTGTTTCTGACAGTCCTTCAGCGAGCTGTGCTTTGGATCTGGAGCGAGATAAGATTCAGTGCAGGTCAGCCTGACCCTTTGTCTCACCAGTTCCTCTGTACTTTGCTCAAGTGCTTCACCTGAGCGTCTGCAGGACTGAGTTTTCTTTGGCAGCTAACATTCTGGAGAAGCTGATTACTGAATAAGTAGTAGAGCTTTTCTGGTGCTGCAAAAGTGGGGGACTGTGTCAGTGGCTCCATAAGACCAGGCTTAGCTTAATTCAGGTTCAGTTCATGGATCTGTTTTGGGTCCTCAGATCCACACATCCTGAGACTTCCTCAAAGCCTAGTGCTATCTTTAATCTGTTCTGGAAATATTGGCTCCTCCCTTTCCTTATCAGTAAGAATCTGCATTGTGTTAGCCCAGCCACCCCTTCCTTATCTGATCCAGTTAACAATGAAGTGTAAATGCGTGGTATCCTTCCTGCTTGCTGGGTCAGGCTCCTTAGCCCTCTGCTAGGGAACAGCACATCAGGTAGGCTGAGTGGTGTGAGGTGCAGCAGAGGGACGAAAACTAAATATCCCTCCCCTGACTACAGGGCTTGGGGAATTCTACTCAAGGCAGTTTTACAAGCAGATGCTTTGCCCTCTGACACTCTTGCCTGGAAGGCAGGTATCTTCTTAAGGATGTTGTAGCTGCATCTTCCAGCAAAAAAACTATAGCCTGTGTGTGTTGAGTGATCTGGCTTCTGATGACATCAGCCTGATCCAGACCATGTTGAGTGCTGATCTGTCAGAGCTGTAGCAGATGCTTTGACAGACAAAGACAGGGCGTGTATACTGAAGTGTCCTGATGCTCCTTGGCCAGAGCTCTTAAGCTCAGGTTCCTGAGTGCTTGTGGATGAGGATACAGCATCATGCCTGTTTGACGAACACACAGCTTTACGCTTTCCTGGTGTGAAGTGGTTATGTGTCCCGAAAGTCTTTGTAGCTTTGCCCCTCTTGAGAGGAGGTAACAGTAAGGCATTGCTGAGCCAGCTCGGACAAATGCTGTTCCTCATGGTACATGGCTGTGAATTGGCTGCTCCTTGTTACCTGGGATGGGGAGAGTCTGGCCTGTGTATGGTGTGATATCCTTGCTGGTGTTATCTTTCCACTCTTCCCTTCTCTGCTGCTGGGTGCCACCTCAAATGGTAAGTAGAAGATAGATGCAGAAACATGGCTGGAACTGTCCTCTCACCAGCTGTATGCAGATCTTGGTGCCCAAGGCAGTCCCAATGCTTAGAGCGTGGGCCTCACCTCTTGGTGCCATTTGAGGGGAGCCTGGACTGTGGAAGAGATGATGGGGAGCCTTCTGTTGGAAGGTGGCAGATTGCAAGGAGCTGGTGAAAGGCCCCAGGGCTTGGCATGTGTTGGCAGAGATGTTTTCTTAGCTGTGCTTCTCAGTGTAGCAAGAATGTGGTGTGCAGTGTGTTTATTTTGATTTCACAAAATGTGTGGGGAGGAAGAAGGGCGTACTGCTGCTGATGCTTAAAGCCTCATTCCTGAAACATCCTTTAATCCCCAATCCTGGATTCCCCTTTACTTGCTGTTGAAGACTGTGCTCAGATCTGGGAGCCATCTGAATTAGTGGTGCTGAAGGGGTGAGAGCAGCAGGTAGATCAGTGGCGGCTGTGCTGTCTTGCCGGGTGGATCTGTGGCTCTCTTTTCCAGTTTTAAGTGCTGGTGGTGGGAAGATTGGCTGGTATGCTGAGGATACACAGGGTGCAAATGTTAAACAGATGTTACCAGTCAGCAGAGCTGCTTCAGAGACTGCCCGGATGCTTCCCTGTGTAATTCTACTTCTGTGGCCTCCTGGGGTAGTCTCGGGTGTGCCTCGGGGTTAATGAGGTGCCAGACCTGACCTCTGCCAGTTGGTGGGGGGTGGGGGTGGTGACTTGGTTATCCTGTGAGCCGAGCCTACCCTGTGCCGACAGAAGCAACTGCGGAACAGGAGCTTATGTCTAAGTTTGTGCCTTGTCTAAGCTTAGACAAGAAGCAGCTTAAAACTCCCGCAGGGGGTGGTAGTGTTCTGGTAAGGAGTAGCCCCCTGCTCTGCCAGGCCCTGGCAAAAGAGGAGCCCTGTGGGTGAGATGACCTTTTGGGTTCAGTCCTGTGCAGGCAGTAGTATCCAGTATATCCAGTAACCTGTCTGGAATGCAGTCCCCAGGGTTTTAAGAGGTGGCAGAGATTACTTCTTAATGCTCTTCCCTGACACTGTTCGTTCTTTCTTTCTATGCTGTCCTGAATGTGAAGATGATGATGGAGGTTCTGCACCACTGTAAGTACCTTGCTTTTTCCTATTTAGCCAGATTTGTACTGGCAGATCACATCCATCCAGGGAATCTGCTCTGAATGGAAAAGCTAGCTGGTGTGGGAATAACACACTAGCTTGCTGGGGTGGGAGACTTTCCCCCTGTGGTTCATTTAATGTGGCCTGTGTATAAACCGCATATAACTGGGGATGGCACTGGTGTCTTGGAAACTGACGCTGTTCTGGTAACTACTCTCATCTTGCCTTATCTTGGCCATCTATTTGGATCTGAATTACATTAGTGGGTAGGTTCATTTAATGTGGCCTGTGTATAAACCGCATATAACTGGGGATGGCACTGGTGTCTTGGAAACTGACGCTGTTCTGGTAACTACTCTCATCTTGCCTTATCTTGGCCATCTATTTGGATCTGAATTACATTAGTGGGTAGGGTGGGGCTTTGCTTTTTCTTTCCTCACTGCCCCTTTTCTCTTTCCAGGAAAAGCAATGCCACAAACCACAAGGACAAGAATGTCCGCCAGAGAAATGCTAACTAAGAGCAGGGGCCAGGTGAGTGCCATTCCCGAGGGCAGAGTTGCAGCTGAGAGCAGCTGCTGTGCCAGGCTCTTCACCTCCTCACAGTGAAGGGCTCCTACAGCGGCCTGAGGTGCCTGTCTCTAGCTGTAACCTAGCTGGAGCTCTTTATCAGCTGCTCAGAGGTCTGGCCTGGCTGCAGTTATCTGCATCTGCAAAGGGTCTCTGGAAGAAGCAGAAGCATCCATGCAGGCAGAGGCTCTTCTGGCCCAAGGTCATACTGCAGGATCTGGGGAGGTGGGGGGGAACATGTGTTGCTGTGAAGTTCAGGCACAGGCCATTAGTAGCCTGGTGGGAACCTGCCAAAGCTGCTGGGACTGCGTGTGGGGAACAGCAGTGTGTCTGGCCTTTGCCCAGACAGACAAGGGGAGAGGGACAAGAAAGTGTTGGACTCTACTGTGGGGCTCTAAAGCATGGGAAAGTCAAGACTGCCTGATAGCTCCTGCCCTGGACTCGAGCAGGAGATGAGTCCTTACCCACAGCTTTACTGAAGGGCAGCCTTTGTCCTGTACTGCTCCATCAACCCCCTCTAGCACAGTGCAGCCTTACTGGTACAACTGGGTTATCTGACTGGCTTTTCTTTCTCTCCTGCCAGGTGATGTGTAGATGAAGAACTCGTCTGGACAATTTTGTTTTCTTCTAATTTTTTGGTAAAATAGCACCATGAAATATTCTAGTGTGTCCTTGCGATTCAGTTACTTCACTTTCTAAAGGAACTTAAGTTGTAGAATCTAAAATACACTTTTTTAAAAAAAAGAGTTGTGGGAGGGTTTTTCTACCTGTAAATGTAAATCCCTTGTTTCTGGTAGTCTAGGTCGCTGGCTGCCTCTGTCCTAGGTTTCTTCATGTACAGTGGGGGTGGGTGGGAGCACAACTTGTGTCTTCCTCACCTCTGGGAAGAACAGGGTGTGCTGGGTAGGGCCATTCTGAAGTGCCCTCCTTGCCCCACCTCAGTGTTTGAGGCCACTCAAGGAGCTGTGGATAACAGACCTGAACACGCAGTGAAATGTGCGCAGTTCCTTGTGTGCTGCTCCGCTGGACGTGGCTGGCATGGCCTGTGTTCCCAGCAGGTCTGTCCTGCCCTGTTTGTGTGGGTCAGGGAGAAACTGCTTTGGTGGCCGTCTGGAGATGACCCGATCTGACCAAAGGGTTTAGGAAGGTAGTTCCGTGTCTTTCCCAGTGCATCACCTGGAGCAAGGCTGCACCCTTACCTAGCGTGGAAGCGGCATGTGTCCTTGTAAGCCACTCAGCCAGGGCCACCAGGCACATCTGCTGGTGCGGCTCCTGGGGAGGAGCGAGCGAAGGGCTCATTCCTCGGTGTGTGCCACACCACCTGGACGCGCACACAGTGCCATACCACGTCAGGCAGATTCCCAGTCAGCTCCTCCAGAGCTGCTTTAGTTACCCTCTTAAACAGATAACCAGGAGGCAGTGTTAGAGCTGGATGCTGGATAAATATGATTGCTGTTAACTTATTTTCATGGGTTGTTAGTATCTCTTCTCAAGTTGCTACAGTGGGGGATAGGGGCAGAGTGAACAGGGGCTGCAGTGCTGGGGGGGGGCCAGTTTAACAGCGTGTGTTCTTGTGCTTGAGCCATCGTGATGTTTGTGTGACATAGAAGCCTGAGAGCAGACAAATGCTCAGTGGAGTCTAATACCTTTATTGCTGGGTAGCATTGAACTGTTAACACACTTCACAAATAAAGATGATTCCTCTCTCTTTTTTTTTTTCATCTTTGTTTGGACTCTGGTCTCTCTTCCCTGCTGGCTGGACCCCTGGGTTGCCTGACCTGCTGACTCATTTCTGGCTCCTCTGGCTGTAGAACACAACACTGTCTCTCACAATTCGGTGCCAGCTCTGACTGTGCTCTAATCGTAGCTTGGGAGGTGTTCAAGCCTTTTGCGAAGGGAGATGAGCAGTGGTCCCGGCTCTGCAGAGCCCGGAGGAGCGCTGGTCACTGGGGCACGCTTGCCTGTTTGGGGGCAGGCGTCACCTTCCCCTGCTGCACAGTTCCTCAGTGTCTTGTGGCTGTGGGGTCAAGGATCAGCTCCAACTTACAGGAGCCCTTGTAGGACATGCTGCGTGCGTGTCTCATGCTTCTCTAAGCAGTTATTTTTTTTGTTCTCGCTGCTCTTTCCTGTGGGGGGAAAGCGAAGGTGCGAGGCCTTTGCTGCCTTTGTGCACAGTGTGGTGCCTGTGGAGAAGGATGGAGGATGTGGCGGGGGGTCCCTTTCCTGCTGCCAGCCCTGAGCTCAGCGTGCTTCTGCCAGTGCTCCTACCCTTGGAGCAAGGCAGCAGTGGCCGTGGGCTGGAGAGGAGCCCCGGTGTGCTCCCAGCTGGCCTGAGCCCTGCCAGCCCTGGTCCCAGCGAGCGTCTGAGCTGTGGCCTTGTGCTGTAGCCAAACGCTTCTCCCTGCCTGGGAAGGGGGTAATTGGGGAGCGTGGCTCTGATTGCAGGGCTGTACCCCCAGAGCTGCTGGCTGTGGGGTGGCTGGGTCCCTCTTGATAGTGTTTCTGCTGCCTCGGTATGTCATCAGCTGGGCTAGCCCTGGGGCTGACTGGGCAGCGTGGCTCTGCAGCACGTAAGTGGGTTATGCAAGCCTTTCGCAGCCGGCCTCGTGCCTGCGGGTGCCATCCTGGTGAAAAATCAATGCGTGGCTTAATTTCCTTGATGAGGATTATGGGTCCTGCCTGACCTGGCTCTCGGGCTGCAACACAAAGCACTGCTTGTGCCTTTTGTTTGGCGGGGCTGGCGCAGGGGGGGAAAAAACAGCCCGGGGAGCTGGGGAGGGGATGGAGCGGCATCATGCTGCTCTCTGCTGGGTCCGCTTGCCTGCAGCAGCTGCCACAGCAAGTCGAGGCAGAGCCCTGCCGCGCTGGCCGAGGCACTGTCGTGTTGAGCTCAGCGCAGGGACGGTGTGAACAGGCCCCTCCTGGGGTGCCCCGCTCTGTCCCGGGGAGAGGGCGGGTGCTCTGGGCACCGCTGTCTGGGAGGATCCTGCTCTGCCTCCCGACACCTCGGGGTGAGCCCTGAGCTGCCACCTCGCTGTGATCTCAGTTGTTCACTCTGGTGTTTCCAGCCTCCTGCTCAGGTTAAGCCAGTGTTGCCTCTTCGGGGGGCTCTTCCATAGGCTTGGGGCCTGCTGGCGGGGGGGTGGTGCTGTGCTCAAGGGTGGTTTGGAGAAATGGGCTGTTGCTTGCAGGTGCGAAGCCAAGGGGGTGATTTGTTGCAGAGTGAGCCTGCTGTGGCCTGGAGCTTTTGGGGCGTCCTCTCCCGTGGGGCTCAGCAGAGGGGCTGCGGCTGCCTGCTCCCTGCCCCGAGCATGAAGCAGGGCTGACTCTGGCCGTGGCCGGCGTGGGAGCTGGGTGTGCGCACTGTCTGGCTGTGTTTCTGCACCGTGGGCAGCAGATGGTGCCACTGGCCGCAGCCGCGTCACCTGTGCGGCACTGTGACCCTGGACGGGTCTTGCCTTGCCCTGGGCCTGCAGCCCGGTCAGACCAGGGCTGCGATAGCCGTGTCCCCTGCGGCTGTGGCAGCTCTGGTCCTGTGTCCGGCTGTTTGAGGATGCTCGGGGCTCACCCGGCCCCCTTGCTCCGCTGTGCTCCGATGCCTCGCAGCCCGGGGAAGCTGCAGTGGGAAGAGCATGTTCCTGGGGCGGCAGGGCAGGAGGTGCTGGTCCCGCTGACCTGTTCCCAGCACCCAGAGCATTGGGAACTGGCTGCGTCTGGCCTGGGTGCAGGTGTCCGCCTCGGTGGTGTCTGGCTGCGGTTTGCTGGCCCGTGTTATTTCCGGGACACACAGGAGCCGCCCTGTCCCAGGGTGTCAGTCCTGGGTCTCCATCCCTGCCACCCTCCCCTGTGCCCGCGCCGGGTGGTTCCTCCTGCCACCGTCTCGGTGCAGGGGGGGCTCAGCCCTGGGGGCGAGGGGACGGGCTGGGTCTGGGCTCGGGCTGGCGAGGTGGGCGGCAGGTCGCCGGGGCTGTGGGAGGGCGAAGCCACGTCTTCCCGG